CTGGATGGTACCAGGATTCAGGCTTTTACTTTGTCCAGAATAACTGGAGAAATTCTGTCTTGGGCCCCTCCTATTAGTAGTCTGATATCCAAAGGGAACAGTTTAACTGCCTTGCTAGAATATCGTCATTCTTACAAGGACATTCACCCTCTTATATGTTGAGCATCCAGAAAACACCTAGAAACCCTGATTATAAAGATTGTATCAAAATGCTAATAGGGCCAGCCTCTCCTTGAATGTCAGAATTAAGGATAAGGTGTGTTAGTTCATGCTTTTAATTTTTAAATTCTCTTCTTTTATTACAAATGTCATTTAAAAATTACTTCTAATTTTTAGAAGCATAATTATAGGGAGTCCATAAAAGTCTGCTGAATTATAAGAAGTCTGAGCTTTCATCCTATGGACATCAATCACCATTGGTGGAAAGTCCCCTAGGGAAGTCTAGAAATAAGATTAACAGCTCAAAAATAATTTAAAAATTCACTCATACTTCCATCAGCAATGGGAGCTACTGTAGGATTTTTACTCTTTTGATAATTATAATACTGTTTTATTTCCTAGGGCTGGAGTTAGTCATCTCCTATGATGATAGGAGCATTAGCCTTGAAACTCTTCTTTGTAAAAAAAAAAAAAATAGAAAGTTGTTCCCAATAATGGGGGTGAACTGTATTTTACAGCAATTATGTTGTTAATGAAGCCATATTATAAATAATTTAAAGGACAAAGGTTAATAACTCTAAGACTTTGTAAACATGAGGTGCAAAGGCTTTGGTTTATTGATAAGGACCACTGAATAGCAACATTCAGTCATTTATTCTATTCTGCTGGTCAAACAAGCATGGAAACAGCCTTGTGAGGCCTGGGGTATATAAAAATGAGTTCTGACAAAACAGTTCAAATCCTCAACCAATGCCTCTCCTACTTTTAAAATTAAAGATTTATTGTTTATTTAACCTGGAACACATGAAGTGAATTGACCACTTAAATTTTACTCTATGCATATAGTCTAATGCAAACTAGTTGCAGTGGTTTTCAGATTACCAGTTACAGAGTGTTCCAGAAAGATGTTTTCTAAGCTACTTGAAGAATCAATAAGTATATGAATCTAGGTGCAAGCAGACGACAGAACCAATAGAATAATCTCAACAAAGGATTTTAACATAACAAATTGCGGTACATGACCAAGAATAACTGGAATTGAAGGCATACTTCATGGCAGAGAGAGCAGACCCAGGAAAGAACAGACCTGGGAAGGAGACATCCTCTCTAAGGTTAAGGTTCAGATCTCAATGCCCAAGAGCTGACTGATAGTAACACTCAGTAGGAAGTCCAGATCACATAGACAGACCACTGTGAGAAGGAAGGATCTCCCAGCTGTTGAGCTGCACATGTTGAAAACATACACTAAGAACGGAAAGGCTGCTGCAGCCAGCAGGAGAAAGCCTTCCTCCCCCAGCATCCTTCAGGAAGCTTACCTAAGCTCATGGAAAGGACAATATAAAGGAATCTCATCAACCTTTGCAGAGCAGGATTGTAAGCCACTTTAGATGTGGAAAAGAAGGCCTGTGAGATTAACATTTGGATCACCAATTCAACCAGGGTACTCAGATTTTCCTTGTTTAAAAATTTAGCTACTCACAGAATTTATTGCTAGGATAAACAGTGGATAGTAATAGATAAAACAACAAAAAACTTTTAAATTTAAGGATGAAACATCATTAGCAAAATTAAAATGTTGACTGAAAACCTGTTTTTTACTCATTTCTTATTTAAACAGTTTCATATATTTTGATCACATTTTTCTGTCCCCCAACTCCTACCATATTCTCTTCACCTCCCTACCCATGCAACTTATTGCTCTTTTTCTCCTTCTTCAAAAATATAAAACAAAATCAAAGAAAAACAAAAAATAATAAGACAAACATGTTGAAACAAAACAAATGCCCCCCCATACAAAATGGACCCCACTTTATGTTGGTCAACTCTCTCTAAGCATGGGGCCTGCTATGGGAGGCGGTTGATGTACTAACAACACTCAGCCTGAGAAAACTGGTCTTCCTTCTCTGGCTGGGTATCCACTTAAACAGCTTGTTGGTTAATAATGGGATGTTGTGTTCACTTTTTCTTCTCAGTGCTGAGATTTTTTTCTGGTTTGAGGCTGTACAAGTCTCATACATGCTCTCAGATTCCCTGTAATTTCATATGTGAATCTGCACTGTTGTGTCTAGAAGCTGTTTCTTTGGAGTCACCTTCCACCTCTGGATCTTACAATCTTTCTGCCTCTCTTCTGCATGAGTCCCTAAGCATTGAGGCAAGGTGTTTCATAAAGATATCCCATTTAGGGATGAGAGCTCTCCACAGTCTGGCAACCTTTGATCCCTTGGGTAGAATCACAAAAGAAGGCTCCAGGACATAAATAGCAAAATTAGAAGTTATGTGTACTAAGGATTTTAAAAAAAAACCAAAAGCATTAATTGCCTGTGATGAGGTTTCTTGCTCTTTTCTTCTTCCTCCTACACCTCCTCCTATTTTAATCTCCATTTACTTCTCAAGATCATCTCACCAGAAATTAAAGTGTCCCCTGGAAATTCTTATACAGATTAAGCAAATTTTTATTACATATTTGAAAATTTCATACATGAGTAAAATATGTTCACCTTTTCACCATGTCTCTTTTCCAACTGCTCAACTGTCTCCAAAACTCCCATCCCTCTCAAATTCATAAGCCCTTCACAATTGTTTTATATATATATATGTGTGTGTGTGTGTGTGTGTGTATGTGTGAGTGAGTGAATATATATATGTGCATACACATACAAAAATTCACTGCTGAATTTAGTACTGCTCATGAGTACATATCTTTAGCACTGCCTACTTGAGATAACATACCAGGGGGCTCATCCCTGTCTTAGCATCTATAATTACATATGACTTATCTTCTAGGAATAGGACCTTATGATATATCCTCTATCCTTGTTTAGGTGATCATGTTTTTAAGACATCATTGATATAACTATTTGTCACATATATGGAGACCTTCTTGAATCTCTCTGTCCAACAATATGAAGGGATATTTCCCATGCTCTGGGACTAGCGTTTTTGTTTTCTAATCCTTGGCTACTCTGGGAAACATTACCACCCTTAGTGATATAATTTTATTCAAATTATTTATGTGCATCCAGGCATTTATTTACATATGCATTATTAAACAAACATAAAACATAGGCTACGCTAGATTCAAACTCATGTTTTTCAGACTTCACCTCAAATTCACAATTCTCTTTCTTGATTTGCTGCAGGTATGGGATTATAGGCATGTGCAACCATGACAAGTTAAGTCATCACACAAAAAAGGGTAAAATGAACAAAATAAGCATTAATTAGAATAAATATCATGCTATAATCCATCAAACAATCAGGGAAAGAGGAAATGCAAAGATAGCAATAAAATCTTGCTCAGTCTCTCAGAATGCATATTGTCTAAAACGTAAATTAGAGAAAGTAAATACTGAAATACATTTTTTATTTAATTGAGAAATTTAGAGGCAAACATCAAACGTTGTAAGAAACAAAGTTTGCAAATACTCAAAATAAAATGAAACATAAAAAGTTCCAACTAATAGCAGTAATTTTAACTGCGTTCAACTTATGTTTATGCACAAGTTTGATTTAACACGCCTGCAATGTTAAATCAAAGAAAATCAATTAGAAAAAAAAAAGAATACCACAGTTCCTCTAAACTCTAGGCACATTTTATTCCTTCCAAACATTCTAAACTGATGATTTAAAATAAATGTCCAGTGTTCAAAGTAAACAAATTAAGTGATTAAATGAAGACATGACATTCATATATTACTGCTACCAGGGTAGCAGTATTTATTGAGTGACCAGTATAAGGTCAGCAGTGCAGATAGTAAACAAAATGAAGGAAATAAACATTGCCCACTCCTTTGTGGCACTTAAATTTAAATGGAACCAAATATAAGCTATGGAAATAAAAGTGAGATATTAAGTTTCATTTTAATGGCAAATAAAGTATAAATAATTAAAATCTCGGCTGACAGGAAATTTAGAGATTGAATAATAACTGAAATTTAGTAGAAAATGGAGGAATAACCCTTCCTTTACTCCTGCTCCAAGTATTAATCATTGTGAATAGAGATCATGTAAAACTATGAAGATTCTTGCAAAGTCACAAAGGATGTGTGATTCAGTTTACAAAATGCAGCAGTAAACAGGCTTTGACCCCAAAGGTTCATCTTGTGAATTCTTGAGACATCTGATGATTTTGATGTCAGTGCTAACAGACGTCTTTCGTTCTTTCATGGCATTTACTATTGTCTTGTAACAGTTTTCTGATAACAAATAATAGAACATTATGCCTCCCTTTTAACATCTACCTCAGATGGGACTTACCCCAAATGCTAATGTATCTTAAAGGTCAAAGTTTTCCTTGGGAATATCCTTTCTGAATATATGTAAAATGAATAAAAGTAGGGCACTTTAACCAAAATTAGTAAAGATTGCTGTCTCTTCTACTCAGTTTCACCCTTTACCACACTTCCCATGTAGAACCGCATCTGCTTGGCACCATGGTTCAAGAGAAATGACCCTCTTGGTGCTTGCTGATGTTGTTCTTCAGCAAGATTATTGAACATTTTACAGGTAAGCCCCACTGGAGGAAATGAGTCTTTAGGGATCGGTCTATACACTTTACTGTTTGCCCCTACTTCCTGTTTGCTCTCTGTTTCCTGAGTTTGAGTAGAGTGTAGCCAACTAAACTCCTGATCTTGCTCTCAAGCCTGCCTGCCTTCTCCATCTCTTCCTCTCATGGTGGACCATGTCCCTCTACTACACTAAGACAGAGACCTTTATTCCTTTCATTGTTGCTGTCAGGGTACTTTATCATGGAAATAGGAAAAAATAAGACTGAACACAGTGGGGCTGGGAACAACTGTGATTGGTTTAATTGGTTCTATAGAAATAGTACAGCCTCCTGGCGTGATTCCGTCCTGCGTGTCTGTTCTCAGGAGCAGCAGGCAGTTTCCTCCGTCCGACTTCTCTCACACCGAAGTGTGCACCTCCACCTCATGGAAGACTCGATGGACATGGACATGAGCCCTCTTAGGCCACAGAACTACCTTTTCGGTTGTGAACTAAATGCTGACAAAGATTACCACTTTAAGGTGGATAATGATGAGAATGAACACCAGTTGTCACTAAGAACGGTTAGTTTAGGGGCAGGAGCAAAAGATGAATTACACATCGTAGAGGCAGAAGCAATGAACTATGAAGGCAGTCCAATTAAAGTAACACTGGCAACTTTGAAAATGTCTGTACAACCAACAGTTTCCCTTGGGGGCTTTGAAATTACACCACCTGTGGTCTTACGGTTGAAGTGTGGTTCAGGGCCTGTGCACATTAGTGGACAGCACCTAGTAGCTGTAGAGGAGGATGCCGAGTCAGAAGATGAAGATGAGGAGGATGTGAAACTCTTAAGTATGTCTGGCAAGCGGTCTGCTCCTGGAGGTGGTAGCAAGGTTCCACAGAAAAAAGTAAAAATTGATGAAGATGAGGAAGAGGATGATGAGGACGATGAGGATGATGATGATGATGATGATTTTGATGATGAAGAAGCTGAAGAAAAAGTTCCAGTGAAGAAATCTGTACGAGATACCCCAGCCAAAAATGCACAAAAATCAAACCAAAATGGAAAAGACTTAAAACCGTCAACACCAAGATCAAAAGGTCAAGAGTCCTTCAAAAAACAGGAAAAAACTCCTAAAACCCCAAAAGGACCTAGTTCTGTAGAAGACATTAAGGCAAAAATGCAAGCAAGTATAGAAAAAGCGCATTGAACAGTCCTGGGCACTACTGGTAAATTAAGCCCAAAGATGGGGAAAGAGGAAAAGGAGAAACAAATATAGCCCATACTGAGTACCATCAACAATCCAGACTGAAGTCTTCTATTTTAATCTCAATCCCCTTTCCTGATTGGCCATCCATTTCCCCCCTTGCACGTTGGAAGCAATCTTTTGTTTTCCTAAAGCATTTTTCTTTCACTCTGTGATACAGACTTTACTGCTTTCTACACTTGTGCATATGCCTCATCTTTGACCATGTTTTAATACCTTTGTATCCTTAGCTGATCAATAAATTTTTGAATGAACCAAAAAAAAAAAAAAGAAATAGTACAGCCATATCTGTCTCGACCTCTACTCTTCTAGATACAGATATTTGAGTTATGTCTATATGCCCTGCAATAGATATGCGTGCCAGAGTTATTTCCTAAATTAGCTGCATTAGCACATTTTATCTCTGAGACAGAAAATCTTGAAACAGAAATCCCACTGAACTATTAGCATATTTTATTGAAGCTAACCCTGGAAGAATATAAATAACAGAGAAAATGGTTGAATTGCAAACCATAAAACATATATGATGTAAGAAATCCCCCAGTGAGGATATCAGTGACAAAAGAAATGTTTGAATACACTTTCTAGTATTTGATAGCAATAATTCATTTACTTGTCATTAGAATAGGGAATTATGAAGCTGAAAGAAAAAATAAAAATTGTAAAATAATGTAAAGACAAAGTTGAATACAAACTGCATTGTCTCTCTAACATGAAAAAAATTATAGTGGTAGTCAAGTTTGAAGCTGAAACAAGTAGGAAATAGCAAATAGACAATTATGGTTGAAACATGAGGTGGGAAGGGGAGAGGGTCTGAAGGGAAGAGGGGAGGAGAACAAGAGAGAACAGAAGAACTAAGACAGAGGAGGAATACATGATGGCAAGAAAGGAGATGCCTTGATAGAGGGAGCCAGTATAGGTTTGGAGAGAGGACTGAACCAAGAGAAATTCTAGGGAATCCACAGGGATGACCCCAATTAAGAATGCAGGCAGTGAATCCCAGTGGCAGAGAGTCTGGGAAACACGGAGGGCCCTAAGAGAGATATGCATGGTATCCCAAAGAAGGGGAATGGAACAGGATCTCCTGAGGAGATTGGGAGTATGGGGGAGGGGAGAGGTAGCTGGGAAAAAGAGAAGGGGAGAAGAGGAGGGGAGAGGAGGACATGGGGGAGCAGGAAGGTTGAATCAGGGGAAGAACAGAAGAAAATAGGATGAGAGATTCCATAATAGAGGGAGTCATTATAGATTGGATGAGAAATCTGGTACTAGTGTGTTTTCCAGAGATCTACAAGGATGACACCAACTGGCAAACTAAGCAATATTGGAGAGGGTACCTTAAAAGCTCTTCCCCGATAACTAGATTGATGACTACATTATATGCCATCCTAGAGCCTTCATCCAGTGGCTGATGGAAGCAGAGGCAGATACCCATAGCTAAACAGTGAACTGAACTCCTGGCACCCAGTTGCAGAGACGGAGGAGTGATGAGCAAAAGGGTCAATACTGGGCTGGTAAAACAGCTGATCTGAACAAGGAGGAGCTCATGGACCCCAAACTGATGGTTGAGAGGCCAGCATGGGACTGATCCAGACCCCCTAAATTTGGATGTCAGTGAGGAGGCCATGGCAATCTATGGGGACTCAGGTAGTAGATCAGTATTTAACCCCGGCATACAAATGGACTTTGGGAGCCCATTCCACATAGAGGATGCTCTCTCATCACATGGGGGGGGCTAGGCCCTGCCCTGAATGAAATGACAGAGTCTGGAGATCCCTCATGGTGGGGGTTAGAAGGTCTGGAGGAGGACAGGCATGAGTGGAGGAAGAGGGAGCTAGGATTGACATGTGAAACAAGCTTGTTTCTAATTTAAATTAAAATATCAAAAAAAAGAATCTAGGAAGTATTGAAGAGGCTGCCTTTGATGCCCTACCCCTATAATGATTGATGACTACCTTGGTTGCCATTCCTAGAGCCTACATCCAGTAGCTGATCTAATCAGAAACAGGCACCCACAGCTAAACACTGAGCCATACTCCTGGAATCCAGTTGCAGAGACAGAGGAGGGAGGAACAAAGGATCCAAAATTGTGCTGGAGAAAACTGTAGAATGAGGTGACCTGATCTAGTGAGAGCACAGAGACCCTAGTTATAAAGCTAGGGAACAATGGACATTGGACAGAACCAAGCCCTCTGAATGTGGGTGTAAGCCAGGAGGCCAGGGCAATCTATGGGACCTCTAACAGTGGAGTCAGTGTTTATCCCTAGAGCACAAATGGATTTTGGGAGCCCATTGCCTATGGAGGGAAACTATTGCAGCCCAGATACAAGAAAGGGGTACTAGGCCCTCCCGCAGATGATGTGAGGGACTTTGATGCCCCCCACATGGAGGGTCTCACTATCCTTGGGGAGTGGGTAGAGGGTAGGTTGGGGGGGTAAATGAGGAACATAGGAGGATGGGAGGGCGAGGGAATAGAGGGACTGATATGTAAATAACAGTGCTTCTAAAATAAAAAATAAATATGATAGCTTTCTTCTGATTTGTTAATGTTTTAAAAAATTTTAAGGTGTATTTGTATGTGTGTGTGGGGTGTTTGTGTGTGGGAGTGTGTGTGTGTGTGTTTGTGTGTGTGTGTGTTGTATGTGTTGTGTGAGGGGTGTTTGTGTGTGTGTGTGTTGTGTGTGTGTGTGTGTGTGTGTGTGTGTGTGTGTGTGTGTGTGTGTGTGTGTAAAGTCAAGAAGAGAGTATTGGAGCCCTTGGAGCTGCAGTTAGAGATATGAGTCTCCTGATAGAGTTGGTGGGAACAGACCTCAGTTCTCTGCAAGATCATTGAATGCTTTTAAATGTCTCTTCTATTTATCCAGTCCCATTCTTGAATTTATAGTTTTTCTCGTACTATTAAACTTTCAAAATTGGCAACTTGTAATTTATTTTCTTACCCTTATCGCAAGTTATTGTGTATTTATGTCCATTTGTAGTTTTATTTATTTTCAGTTTATACAAGATTGAGACTTCATAAGCTTGAGGATAACCTAGATTTTTCGGTATGTAAAATGGTTGATCATGCTATGTTCTGTAATCTCATATAACAAACTTTGAGCAAGTTATCTCAAGATAAATCAGTTTCTTATAGACTTTATTGGCCTATATTCCTATACTTACCTTTTTGGAACCAGGTGAAAAGAATTCAGAGCTCTGGCCTTTCCAGAAGAAATTATTCGAGAAACTGACAAAACCTGAGGTGAAAATAGTAACCAATAGAATGAGGAAGAAAATGTACATTAAGCTGTTTCAGTAACCCCTCCAACTGATGTTCCAACAAAGTATAAAAGAAGAGAAAGTGTCACTCCCGAAGCTTCATTTCAGTTATGCCCATTTACCAACATCTATCCTTCCAATCCCTGCCAACATTGCTGTCAGCCTCAGCCACTGGCCACCAACAGCCTCAGCTCTGCAACTGTATTTGATTTTTATTTGTACATTATTTTCTATTTCATTATTTAAATTAGAAACAAGATTGTTTTGCATGTCAATCCCACTTCCCTCTTCCTTCCCTCCTCACCTGCCCACCACTAACCACTAACTCCCTACTCTATTCCCTTTTTTAATCCCCAGGGAGGGTAAGGCCTTCCATGGGGAATCTTCAAAGGCTGACAGAGTATCCCTCTATATGGAATTGGCTAACAAAGTCTATTTGTATGCTAAGGATAAATACTGATCTAGTAACAGAGGCCCCACAGATTGCCAAGGCCTCCTCACTGACATCCAAATTTAAGAGGTCTGGATCAGTCCCATGCTGGCATCTCAGCCATCAGTCTGGGGTCCATGAGCTCCCCCTTGTTCCGATCAGCTGTTTCTGTGGGTTTCATCAGTCTGGTCTTGACCCCTTTGCTTATCACTCCTCCCTCTCTGCAACTGGATTCCAGGAGTTCAGTTCTGTGTTTAGAAAATGGAAAGATCTCCCGTGTTCTTGGATAGATAGGATCAACATAGTAAAAATGACAATCTTGGCAAAAGCAATCTATTGATTCAATCCAATCCCCATCAAAATACCAGCACAGTTCTTCACAGACCTTGAAAGAACAATAATCAACTTTATATGGGAAAACAAAGGACCCAGGATAGCCAAAACAATCCTGTACAATAAAGAAACTTCTGAAGGCAACACAAAACCTGACTTCAAGCTCTATTATAGTCCTGAAACCAACTTGGTATTGGCACAAAAATAGATAGGTAGAACAATGGAATCAAATTTAAAACCCTGGTATTAACCCACAAACCTACGAACCTGATTTTTGACAAAGAAGCTAAAATTATACAATTGAAAAAATAAAGCATCTTCAACAAATGGTACTAGCATAACTGGATGCTGGCATGTAGAAGACTGCAGATAGACCCATGTCTATCGCTATGCACAAAACTTAAGTCCAAATGGATGGAAGCAGAATTTGACATTTTTATATGCAATGCAAGGTACAATATTATGCAGTGTTTGTTTTTCAACAGATGGTTTATTTCCCTAGTAAAATGTCCTCATGTTTGATCTATGGTCTCACAAATAACACCATTTTCTCCTCTCTGTGACTGAATAGCACTCTACTGTGACCCACAGACTATGTTTTCTTTATTCACACATTTGATATAGACATTTGGATTCTTTACATGACTTGGCTTCTGTGAGTAATGTTGTAACTGTTAGAGTAGTGTTCATGTCTCTGTGACATACTGTTTTGGACAGATACTCAGAAATAAGATTACCCAATCATGTAGCAGATCTAGTTTTAATATTTTAGACACATTCAAACTGCAGAATGGCTGGACACATTTGAATTTCCAACACCATTCTCTCCCTTTCCCCCATCTTAGTAACATAATGTAATTTGTTGTTTTATAGTGCCCATTTCACCTAGAGATGAAATCCCATTATAATTATTTGTATTTCTCTGAGAACTGATGATTTTGAGTAATTATAGTAGCTTGTTGTTCATTTGTATATAGTATTTTTGAAAAATGACCTTTATAACCAGGTCATTTTCGGTCTCCTATTAATTTGCTTGGGTTCCATACATATTTTAAATAATAACCTCAAATCACCTGATTATTTAACAAATACATTTTCCCGTTTTGTAGGCTAAAAATAGTATTATAATATCTTTTTATTCTTTTCAAAGAATATCTG